ACTTAATATCCATATCCAGGATACTACCCTGCTGTGCACACCATGGGTCTTAGCTGGAATGCTTCAACACCCACCCAGGACCCCCTCCTGCCACACTGCTGCAGGCTTCAACTTGATCTTCAAGTGTATGCTTGGTTTGTTATTAAAGGTACAACATTTATCTGTCAGTTTGTTGTCTTGAGGGGATGATTTGCGTATTGCTAATTATTTTCTGGATTAAGTATCTATATCATTGCCTATCATTGTTCTTAGTAGTATAGCACTTGCCTGTCAGTTTGCTGTATTTAAGTAACTTGTAAATTGCTGTGTTGTTGCACTACATGGAGTAAGTCAGAAAAATACTGTAAGTTAGTTACATGAATGTGCAGAAATGTGCAGACAGACATAATCTATAGAAACAGACACCAGATTCATGGGCCTTGGAGTGGATTTATGGTAAATGAGTATGATGAAAGTTTTGGAGTGATGAAATATTCTAAAATTAGACTGTGGTGATGGCTGCATACTTTCATAAATTTACTGAGTATCATTAAATGATACAATGGTAAATTTTATGCGATATAAATTAAACCTCAATAAAACAAATTTTAAAAATTAAAGGCTTCTTCAAAAGACATTTTTAGAAGAGTAAAAAGGCTGTGGGTAAATATTTAAAAAGCATAACTGACAAATATTTTTATCCATAATATGTAAGTAAATTCTACAAGTTAATAAGAAAAATACTGACAATATAGCATAAAAGAGTGCAAATCCTTCCAACTTTAAAAAAAACTCTGGACTAGATAGTTTTACTAGTGCATTCTTGTCACCAATTCTACATAAAGTATTTCAGAAAATAGAAAAAGAATTTACCAAACTCATTCTATGAGGCAAACATATCCTAATACCAAAGTCAGGCAAAACTATCACATAGGCTAATATCTCTAATGAACATAGATGTAAAAATTTTCAATAAAATCCTAGCCTATAGAATCCAACAGTACACAAAAAAATAATTTATCATGATGAAGTGGGATTTATAACAGGTGTTCAAGGATGGTTCAACATAAGAAAAAATATGTAATTAATCATATTAACAAAACAAAGAAGAAGAACCACATGATCCTATCAACTGACGCAAAAAAGGCCTTTGGACAAAATTTAAAATACTCAACAAAATAGGAGTAGAGGATAATTTTCTCAAAAGAGTGAAAAGTATATATGCAAAACCAAGAGCCAACATTATTCTCAATGGAGAGAGATTAAAGGCATTCACCTTGAAAACAGGAACTAAGCAAGGATGTCCACTATTTCATTTAATATAGCCCTGCAAGTATTAGTGAAAGCAATAATACAAGATAAGGAAATAAGAGGTATCCAAATTGGCAAGGAGGAGATAATATTATCTCTATATGCAGATGACATGATAATACATTTAGAAAATCCTGAAGATTCAGTGAGGAAATTATTGGACATAATCAACCAGTTCAGGAAAGTAGGAGGGTACAAGATCAACATACAAAAAATCGGTTGGATTTCTCTACAGTGGCAAGGAGAGTATAGAATGGAGCTAAGAAAAACAATACTAACCACAATTGCTGACCACAATACAAAATATTTGGGAATGAATCTAACTAGAAACATAAAAGACCTATACACAGAAAGCTACAAAACATTACTATAAGAAGCAAAGAGATTTGGAGAAATGGGAAAATATACCATGCACATTGATAGGAAGACTCAATATCTTGACGATGACAAGTCTACCAAAGGCAATCTACAAGTTCAATGGAATCCTAGTACAAATACCAATTTCATTCTTCAACAAGATGGAAAAAGGCAACTTCCAACTTTATTTGGAATAGAAAGAGACCCTGAATAAAGCAAAATACTCCTGAAAAAGAGAAACAAGATAGATGGTAACATACTCCCTTTGATGGTCAAGACAGCATGGTACTGGTACAGTAAAAGACACACAGATCAATGGAATAGAATTGAGAATCCTGAAATCATCTCATGGTCAACTGATCTTGACAAGGAGATGGAATCAGTTAAGTGGAGAAACTCTCTTTAACAAATGGTACTGGTACATTTGTAAAATCATCTGCATAAAACTTAAGCAAGACTCACGCCTCACACCTTATACAAAAACAAACTCAAGGTGGAACAGGGACCTACAAATAAAACCAAAGAATTCATCACAGAAAAATTATGAAGAACTCTAGATTTATTTTTCCCCTATCTGTGAACTTTCTTTTCCCTATATTGGAGAATTTTATATATTGTTGTTGTTAGATGCTGTTAAGCCGAATAAGACTCATAGCAACACAATGAATTAAAGATCTGAATCCTGTCTTATCCTGTGCTGTCCTCATCATCTCTGACACACTTAAACCCATTACAACAGTCACTGTGTCAATCTTTCTTGTTTCATTTTCCTTCCACCTTTCCAATCATGATGTTCCTCTCCAAAGAATAGCCCCTCCTATCAAAACCTCAATGAAATACCATTTCACTTCCCAATAAGATGGTAAAAAAAATCTGTAAATAACACATGTTCACAGAATGTGGGGAAATTTATGCCCTTCTGGATTGCTGCTGAGAATGCAAAATGATATAGCCATTGTGGAAAAGAATATGGAAGTTTCTAAAAATCCCCGAAACAGAACTACCACATGACCCAGAAATTCTATTGCTAGAAATAAGCCCAAAGCACTTGAAGGTATCGATAAAAATAGACACGTGAACATTAATGTTCATTGCAACACTATTCACAATAGCTCAAACTTGGAAAAGACTGAAAATAGAGTTACGTTTAGAGGACATTATGCTGAGTGACATAGATCAGATACAAAAGATAGAAACTGTGTTAGACCACTATTAAAAAGCTAGAGAAAGTTTAAATGAAGAGAGAATCAATCTAGTGTGGCTACCAGGAAAGGGAAGGCAATAGAGTAGAAAGTCTATTCATAGATGGTGAACACTTATTAAGATGGGTGAAGAAAAGAACAGTAAGGAATGAATAGAGGATCAATCATTATGAATATTGTACTAATTTATGGAACAAAATATACATGAATGACTGAAAAAACTCAATATTCTTTTTAAACTTTCACTCAAATCACAATATGAATTATAAACAAATAAAAAACCCTTAAATGCCAATCAGTGGATGAATAAACAACGTGATGTACACAGACAATGGGACATTACTTAGAAAGAGAAATGAAGTTTTGATGCATACTAAATACAATAAAAAAGTAACTTGATTTATTCTGAGCATAAAAGGCAATCACAAAAGAATAAATACTGTATGATCGCCTTTATATAAAAATTGAAGAAAACATACATTGATGATGTTGAGGGACAAGGTTTACTAGTGGCTAACAGGGTAGGGAGCTCTTATGGCTTACTGGTAAGGAATTGCACTGTCAACGCAAAGGTACACAGTTTGAATCTACCAGCCACTCTGTGGGAGAAAGACATCTCCTTCTATACCATCTATTTCCTTCGAAAACCAGCTGGAGGGTCAATTTTGGGTTGATTTTGACTTGATGGTATACAACAATAACTCTTGAGGATACTGGATGGGAACAAAAAATATCTGAGTCTTGTCATATTTTTGACCCCAACTTATAGGCCACAACACAATCTTTATCTTTACTTAACTGATCTAACACTAACACAGTCCACCATGACTACCTTAAACAGAACAACCAGGAAACATCTTTTATGTGAAATGGCACTTTTACTTTTTATTCTATAATGCTTACTATTTGAATTCTCAGGTCCCTATGGTCTCCACTATGACAGAATACCATAAGTGGTTGACTTTAAAGAATTGAAGTTTATTTTCTCACAGATCAGGAGGCTAGATGTTTAAATTAGGGTTTTGTTGTTTTTATTATTTGCCATCGAGTCGACTATGACTCATAGTGACACTGCACAATAGCTCTGAACCCTGCTCTATCCTGAGCCGATCTCAATGCCTCTGACATACCTACCCTCATTACCCCAGTTATTGTCTCAATCCATCTCATCTGGGACTGTCCTTTCCTGTGATGTCCCTCCATCCTTTCAAACATGATATCCTTGTTTAAAGACTGATCCTTCTTGGCTACATGCCCAAAGTATGTTAGAAAGAGTCTAAAAACCCTTGCCTTCAAGGAGCAGCTTGGTTTCACCTCTCAGGACAGATCTGTTAGTTCCCTTGTTAGTTGTGTCAACTCCTGTTGGGCCATCTCTAGTGTCTGGTGTCTGCTTGAGATAGCTCCTTATTTTGCGTATATCTTCCTTCTGCATGTGCCTTTTTATAACTTGGAAGTGATCAACTTCAGGATCCACTCTACTGTGACATTACTTAATTAACAAAGCAAAAGGAAGATCCTATTTCCAAACAGGATCATATCTGTAGTTTCAGCAAGGAGAATTCCAATACCTATATTGAGAGCTCACAGTTATGTCCAGAATAAATTACACAAAATAGATAGATTGAATACCCTTGATGATGTTTTCTTTTAATCTCCTTTCTCCGCTCTATGTTAAGAAAAAAATAAGAAGTGCTTATGCTGCTGTAAAGAATCAATGTTAGAAAATCCAGGTTACTTTGCCATAGATTTTTTCTTTTAAATGATAAAATTTCTTTATACTTCAGCATTGTTTAAGATGGGGTAAGGGAGGGGTCATCAACTTTTTCCCTCCCTGAGATTCTTTTGCTAGGATTTGTGTAATTTCTCTTTTGGGTCCACCTCAATCTGGTCAAGGCTCTTTATAAAATCTAATCCTATACCTATATCTCTTTATTCCTGGCTCTGGTCATCACTAAAGTAGAAAAGACTTTCTGGTCTCTTTTTTTCATTTCCACTTTGGCATTGGAGATTAAGAGTAGTCATTGTTACATCATTACTGGGCAGCCAATCAGGTGCACACTTTCCTTCAATGACTTTCCTGTCCCATAGGCATTCACAGGCAGCTTCAATGGAAGGAGGAAGTCAAGAAAGAGGCCTGGTATAAATCCAAAGATGATCATTACAACATGGATTGTGTACATTCTTGCTCGCAAAGGTGTGGGGCTCTCCTTCCCACCAAAAACCAGTTTGGTGAGTGGAGTTAGTGGTAGTCACATGGATTTGTTTGTCATATATCTTCCCCCTCTATCCCTGTACACCTCTCTGTTGCATTTCCACAGAAATTTTCTAATATATTCTTAGACTCTGGATTAAAATGTAGAGAAGAGAAACTGGCCTCCTGGGTATTCTGAGGGCATTGACTTCCTAATTTGTTCCAGGATGTTGAAGTTGTGGAAAGTGAGGCTGTGTCTGTGGTACAGCACTGGTTGAAAAGAGTGAGTAAGATTCTCTATAACTCATAGCAGTCAAAATTCTAGAGAGGGCCTCAGAAGATGTAGGGGTCTGTACTCAAGTCCTTCTCCATAGAATTGCTCTCCTGATTTTAACCTTTGCTAAAACTCCTGTCCAGAAGTGTTTCTAATTCACCTGAACACCCTAAAGAACAGAGACTGGTGTTCTAAGAGATCTATTAATGGTGCTACTCTCTCATTCTTTTATGCAACCTTATGTCTCAAACATATTGGATCAAATAAGACTCAGATTTTCCACTCTCAGTGCAACGATGTCTAGGGAGTTCTCTGCAAATTCACAGAATGGTAACAATAGATGAGGTTATTGAAGGAAAGGAGAGATGGGGAGGTATTTGTGTAAATAAGGAGGGAATACAGGGAGAAAGAGTGAGAGATAGAGAGATAGATTGAGGAGGGTGTACAGAATAATCCTGGTTCAGAGGAAAATGCTCAACTTTCAGACTGAAGAAGAAGCTTCTCAGGGCATAAAGGAGAAGATGTTCAGCAACTCCCCATCCATCCATGGCAAAGATACACACATGACCAGAGATGTGGTAATGATTGCAGTCCTTGAAAATCTGAGGCTAATGGCCTGGGGTGGCAGGGGAAGAAAAATGTGAAAGAGGCATAGAATTACAAAGTGGGGTGGGGGCAGGGGAGTGGGGTGAGAACTGGGAGGGAAGAATTGTCTGGGCCTGACACTGATGAATTTCCTAGGAAAAACAACGTTTTTCAAAGTCTGAGTTGTTAACAAACCAGAGTCAAGATGTCCTGGAGGAGAGAACTAGAATCCAGTTCATAAGATGGAGGTAAACCTTGGGGTTGGGGGGAGACTGAGGAAGATGGAGTCAATAATGGATACTGCATTGAAAGAGATGAGGGAGAAAACTGCTTAAGAGGGATATGTTATTAGGTATTTTTGTCATGACAGGAGTCCAGAGTGAAGGCTGTATAGTGGAGGGGGGGGAGGGAATTGTAAAACAATGAAAGAATTTGTCTTTTACTTTTCCAAGAGGGTAGTGTACTGGGGCGGGGGGAGGGTTGGGAGGGGAGAAAAGTGCAACAATGAATGAATGGAAATTCAAAGTCTCTGTAAATTTTCATTGAAATTAATAATACATTTTTTAAAAAAATTACACACACAAAAGAAAGATGGAGGTAAAGCATCCCATTTGCTCTGAGCAAAAGAGTAGGGAGGGACTTCTCTTCATAATTCCAGGCTAACCAAATCTATGAACACTCTTCTCTAGAGATGCTTCCTTTGGCTTGGAAATATTTTATTTTCTTTGAGGGTGTGAAGGTAGAATTTCTGCTATCTTGAAAGCTTACCTGTTTCCTAAATTTTAAAATTATTTGCGGGACTGGAAAATAGGTCTTATTCACCTCATCTTAATTGATTCTGAAGAAATTTTAGACTTCTATTATTTTTGTACTTGAATTGTTCAGGAGTGGATGCATTTTAAAGAGCTAGAAGAAAATAAGCTCTTAAAATGCAAAAAACCAAACAAGGACTTCCTCTGCATCTGAGATAGGCTTGGTTTCTTAACACCTGAAGTAAAAATCCTACATTTCACATTATGACAGATTTGTTTAGCCTATCTATCACTGGGTCCCATCCCAAGAACTGCATTACCAGCATGTCCCCCCCCACCCCGCCCCGCCAAAGATGCTAGAAGGCAAGACAGGTGGAACTGGGTCAGAAGAGCAAGCCCATTTTGTTGGCATAAGATTTTATATCTTCTTCCTGCTGCATTCATTTCTAGTAGCAATCTGTGAAATCAAACTCTCCTACACAGAACTCTGAAGGCACTATTATATTGGTACCATTATGCTCCATTTTCAAGCCTTCACTCCCAGTTTTGTTCTCTGGTCTATGGTTCTTGATTCAAGAGTCACAAAGCACTTGAGAAGTAAGTTTTATTCAAGATCTAGGATTTTCATATTTACCCTTCCCAGAGGGAGCTTTGGTAACATTATCCAGTGGGAGTTGTACTGTCAGCCTAAAGATGCCTCGGGCAGTTCAAATCCACAAGAGGCTCAGAGAGAAAAATATGGTCAGTTCCCTCCCATGTGATTTACAGCCTCCAAAAATAAGCTGGTTGTTCAGTTACAAGAGGGTTTAAAACGGAAAAGTAAAAACCAAAACCCTGCCAGTGTTGTCAGCATTTTTTTAAAAAAAGGCTCAAATGTAGAATAATTACTCAAAAGAAAGGAATCGGTGGTGAAATACGAAATATCAGTGGTAGAATATGAAGCCTTTCTGGGAAAGCTATTTTGGATGGGAAATCTTTCAAAGTTACTAAGAATCACAGATGTTGGTGCTGCCATCCAGTCACAGCTGTGCGTGCAGGAGGTTGTCTGAGGCCAGCAGAGGGGGCACTGGAATGGTAAATGCTGCCTTGTTTGGCTTAGATAATATGGAGAGCAGCATCCAATACTTTTAAAACTTTAGTTATTTATCTTAACCAAATTTAAGCATTTGAGACATATAAAAGGAATCACACAGCCAATCATCTACATTTTTTGCACTATGGATTTTCTAAGGAGATTTAAAGTAAGCAAACATTTTAAATAAGGCTCTTTGCCCCTACAGTCCGCTAGTATGGCGATCTCTTAGTTTTAGTAACAAGGCATCAGGGAACATATGTTGCTTTATTTGACATTGTTTTATGTTCATTTGCTTGACAGCTATGTGCTGAGCTGTTGATAATTGTTATATTCTCTAGATGAGGGTAAAAGAATAAGAAAAAACTTTCAATTTCAAGGCGATAGATCTAACTAGGTGGATAAAGTCTGTGAAAGGCAACGAAAATGCTGGAAAAGCCAAGAGCAGTGGCTTCACGGCGATCAAACAGATTTTAGACAGAATCTGGCCCAGGCCTTCAGAAAAGCATGACACTTACTGACTTGCCCTTGAACTTGGCAGGAACTGATAAACCAGAGCCTACTAGAGAAGACTTTGCTCCCAGAGGCTACCTCCCTTTGGTCATCTACATCCTCATTGTTTACTGTTAGAATCCTTTCTTCTCTGAGAACTCCCCTAATTCCCCCAGGCTGGGAGCACTCTCTGTTGTAATCCTTCCTTATTTATTTTTTTCTTCAAATACTTATTTTATGTGACTCCAACTTGTATGAGCAATATTTATGAGTTTGTCTCCTGTTCTCCCCTTCCCACATCATTAGCTGAACTGTCAAAGTATCAATGTCTTAATCATCGCACGGCCCAGAGCATAAGGACAGGGCACAGCATGGAGAAGATGCCTTCAGTAGAAACAGAAGTGAAGTGCTCATATTCTTAAGGGGAGAAGTTGAACATGGTGTAGGAAAGAATAAGCAGGGAATTACAAAGAATATGCATGATAAAATTAGTCAACCACAAACACAAATAGCACCTTCTGTTTACTTCTCAAAATCTTACATGTAAAGGAATTTTACATGTGTGCTGTCTTGGTTATCTCCAGTCTGGTCCATCAGTTTAAATCATAGGAAGTACCTGCTAGACAGAATTTTCTCTCATCCATATGACATTAAACTGATTATAAACAGCTGATGATGAAGCTGGTGAGGAGTTCAGAAAGTATGTCTTTAATATCTTATCATACTGAACTGCTTTGAAATCTTAGCAAAGCTGTTTATGCTCTATTTTCTTCACCATTCCTGGGACCATTTTTGAGTGTTTAGGCTTGCTTCATGACTGCATAGTACATGAATGGTAAAAAAAAAAACCCAAAACAAAACAACAACAACAACAACAACAACCAAAAAACCCAACCACCCAAACCCCATTTATGTTCATTAAATAAAATGGGTGAAAGGCCAGCTCAGAAGCACATGGTAATGCAGCAAGACTTAGTATCTCCATGTCAAGCTAATAATAGTAAAATAGTTTCCACTTCTCCTGTAATTGCTGGTGTGGCATCACCATGGATTAGAATTTCACAGTAGCTGATCTTGCTTTTCTGTCTTATTTTCTTCAGGAGTTGTTAGTGGTAAATAGATTTGCTCTCTGGGAGATATGTTGAACAATTTGTTTCCTGGGGGTTTCCTAGAAAAACAAAATAAAGTGAAGCAAAAAACAATCTCTCTCTCTTGATATGTGTATCTCCCACTTTCTATCTGCTCATCTGACCCCAAGAAGTAAGTGGTGAATTCAAACTGCTGATACCCTATGCACCAAGCCAACAGAGTCTGGAGTCTGTCTGTCTGTCTATTTTTATATAGTGAGAGATAGATAAATATTTATATAAAGGAAACTGATCCAACTATTTGTAGAGACTGGTTAAGTCCCAGGTCAGAAGGCCAGACCTCAGGGAGGAGGCTTATTCTCAATTGTATTGATGACAAAGGTGCTAGGTGACTGGCTTTGGAGGCTGACAGATCTAAGTTTAGTAGACAAGGGAGTCCACTGGCTCAAGTCCCAGAACTGGAGGTGACAATTCAAAACAGGATCCAGACTGAGCAAAAGCAAATAAGCTCTATCAGACTTTCTTTTATATTTGATATGTAAGGGGTCACACCTCCTACAAAACGTGCCTTAAATTGATTTGTTGCTCTTAGAGTACATCAAAAGAATGGCTATATCACATCATAAGTGCCAAACTAGATAATCATACGCAGCCAGGTTGACACACAGCCTTAATAATCACAACTAACACTGTGTATAACCCGAGTCTAGCAGCTTCCCAGTGCCAAGTGAAATAAAGAATGTAAGAATCCACATGTTTGAATGGCCTTTTGCAGCCATACCCGTATCTTCCAAGTTCCAAGTGAGGTGAGAGAGGATGCTATGCGGGATCGGATAGAGCAAGTGAGACGAAGGTAAGCGTTCTGGATAAGGTGGTTCATTTGGGATCATAAGGATGGGAGTGTCTGCTGGGCTTCAACCGTGCAATAGAGCAATGTTACTCTTTCTTCTGTGGATCTCTGGGACATCTCCTTGAGAACCTCACAACACCACCCTCCCCCCAGTGTGTCTGGAGCTCTTCCAGGCTGACCACTTCCCTGTAAGACTGCTCTCAGGCCCTTGTGGGCCCCTGTGGCTGCCTACATAATCTCTTAGCCCTAGCCACCTTGCCCTTTACAGTATCTGGTACTTACAGCTTTTTGCCCCGTGTTCCTTTCCTTTATTCTTTGCAGCATATCACAGCTGACTGTTAATTCTTCTCAAGATCCATGTATCAAGTCTTCCTATTTTGCCTGCTATGAGTGACGAGTGAGAAGGGCTGGCAGGTGAGCAGCTGGGCAGAAGAGTGGGTTCTTTTGGACAACAAAAAGGCACAGGATTTGAGCACAGACCTATCGAGCTTTGGGCCAATGAGGACATAAGGCATAAGCTCCTGATATTATCTCAAATTTCTAGAAGACCTTGACATTGCATTTTAGACAGGGTTCTCGGACTCTTCCAATTGTAGTATTATATAGGCGATTGTGTCTCAGTGTTGCATAAGATCATGGGAGAAGTGACAGATGTGTAGGTATTAACTCAGTAGGTCTATGGCGACACCTGTGTGCATTTTACTGACTCCTAGGGTCTTGGAATCACATGCTAAATTGAAGAACCACAGAGTGTGGGAGTCAGGAGAGGAGACACAGGTCAGGGAGGTCTTCAGGTTACTTGGCTTTCGCTTTTGGACTCGGTAGCGCTGGTGGCTTACTGATAAGGAATTGAGCTCTGAACACAAAGGTACAATGGTTTCAGTCCACCAGGTGAGCAATTTCCTCCTGTGAGATTTACTGCTTCTGAAAACCCATTGGAGAGTCATGGATCAGTGCTGACTCAACAGTACACAACAGGTCTTGAGTGATCATCACCACTGATAAGGTGACTGGCGATAGGAATCCGTCATGCTTTTATCAGCGATGACTGCTGGTTGGTGTGGGAGATAAATAGGGCTTAATTTTGGAAGAATCTGGCTCTTCAAAGGCTTGAAATAGGGCAATGAAGAGGTCATACTGGCACCGATAGAGTACTTCTTTTATGCACTGTTCTAAAAAGACTCTTTCGCAAGGATTCTAATTTGATATAAAACAGCCTTATGAGGAGTTTTCTTTGTGTCCATTATCAGAGAAAGATGAGGTAAAGCCAAAGTTCAGAGCCAGATTTACCATTTATGAGTGACAGTGCAGTTGTAATATCTACTGCAGGGGGTTGTTTGAGCCCGTGGCAAGTACTGTTCTTTGCTGTTAGTAGAGATGAGACAATTGAGGTTCTGAAGGCTAAGTAACTTGCCAGTGGTGACTTCACTAGGAAGAATTAGGGCTCTATGTCCTTAGGAGACTACAACTTTTCCTTTAAATGGGCATAGTCTTTGCAATTACTAGCTATGCATCAGCAAGCTGGACAATGACTAGGGATAACAGAAGAACTGATGCCTTTGAGCTGTGGTGCTGGAAAAGAGTACTGAGTAAACTATGGACTGCTAGAACAAACAGGTTCATCCCAGAGAGGGTAAGATCAGAATGATTCTTGGAGCAAAGATTCTGATGCTTCATCTGACATACTTTGAACACGTTGCAAGGCGGGACCAGTCCTTGGAGAGGGATGTCATGCTTGGAGGATAGAGGGACAGGGCAAGAGAGGAAGGCCCTCTATGAGATGGATTGATTCTGTGACTGGGGTAATGGAAGTAGGTGTGTTAGAGACAATAAGATTGGCACAGGATAGAACAGGATTTAGGGCTGTTTTACATAGGTTTGCCATGAGTTGAAGATGATTCGACGGTACATAACAACAACCACCACAACCACAAACACCACAACCACAACAAAAATAACTCTAAGAATGTGGAGAATGACAGGTTTGGGGAAACATCAGTGGGGTGACCAGACTTAGTCACTTCTCTGTAATGTGCATGTCTCATTGGGATTTCTCTGTTCTAAGGCTGATGTCCCTCGGGGTCAAGGAAATGGCCTGCATTAGCACAGCATTGTATCTCTCTGGATCTGAAGAGGGACAAGTACAGTGAGACACGGGCAAAAGGGATTCAGCAGAAGACCCTTTGTCGTGATGGTGGCCACCCTGGAATCTCCTTCCTAAACCATGAATAAAGAGACAAGCTATTTAATTGACCTCATGAGTCATGGGTGCTGTATCATTCATTGATCTATCATCAGTCATGGAAGACTGTGTGGGCCTGGCTCTTGGGTTTGACAAGTGTTAAAAGCTGCTCTAATGGGGGTGGGGCAGTCAAGGAACTCTTGAGGACATGAGAAAAGCTCTAGCTTTTGCTGAGGGGAGATTGCACTAGGATAAATAGGGCTTCATGGAATAAGTGTGGTTTATTTGCCTTACTCAAGATTTAATTGAGTGTCTCCGACAATAAACAATAATATTTATGAACACCTCCATGTCCATAAACATTATATACTCATAAACATTGTCTAAGTGCTAGATAATATCTGATGACACTGGCAGTTCCATGGCAAAATTCTTACCTTCAGTGCAGGAGGCACAAATTCAACACTGGCCAATGTACTTTAGTATCCATGCTTCTGTCTATGGAGGCTAAACAGATTTCAGCAAAACTACCAGACTAAGATTAGTTAGGAGGAAAGATCTGGTGATATGCTTCCAAATATCAGTCATGAAAACCTATTCACACCATCTAATCCTGTTGTGCACTGGGCTGGCATAAGCCAGAAAGCAATATAAGAATGTAGAGGTTAAGTTCATTTCTAAGGTCCCATGGGTGGAGAGAAGCTGAGTCATAGTTAAGTATGCAGATCTTCTGGTTCTTAACCACTCTGCTACACTATGTGCTGGGCCCTGTCTTGGTCTGGGAATATGGGAGGTAAGACTCATCCAGATGCCTTTGTACATCCTTCAGTTTGATTGTGAGGTACCATCGAGTCAGGTATGACTCATAGTGATCCTATGAATAGGCAATCTGAAACTTGCCCTTTTCTGTGCCATTCTCATCATCTCTGAGACACTAGAAACATTGATGAAGTCACAGTGTCAATCCTTCTTGTTGGGGGGCCTTCCTCTTCTTTGCTGAGCCTCCATCTTGTCAAGCTTGATATAAGTCCCTTTCAAAGGAATACTCTTGCTTAACTACATGTTCAAAATATGAATGACAAACCTTTGTCACCCTTGCCTCCAAGGAACACTCTGGCTGCACCCTTTCCAGGACATAATCTGTTTGTTCTTTTGGAAGTTCATAGGATATTCAGGCCATGAGATACTCCAGCACCACAACTGAAAGACATCAATTCTTCTCCTGTCATCCTTATTAATTTTCAGCTCTCTCATGTGTAGCAGGTGACTGAGACCACCACGGCCTGAATCAGAAGCAGTTTAGTTTTCAAACTGACATCATTGCTCTTCAGTACTTGGAGCCGTCCCTGATGGCAGATTTGCCTAGTGCAATATGTCTCCTGATTTCCTAACTGCTAGTACCAAGGGTGCTGATTGTTAATCCAAGCAAGCAAAAAAATTAACAGCTTCAGTCTTTTTTCCTTCTATCACAATGTTTACTGTTGGTCCTGTGGCGGGGATCTTTGTTTTCTTGACTCTGAGATGTTATCCATACTGAAGGCTGTAGTCCTTTATTTTCTGAAAGCAATTCTTTTATATCCTCCTCACTTTCAGTGAGCAAAGTTGTGTCGTTAGCATTACACAGGTGGTTGATCAGTTTTCCTCCATTCATAGAATCTGTCTATGTGAATTATTTGCTCAGCATACAGATTGAATAGATATGAAAAAGAATATAGCCATGATGCACAGCCATCCTAATCTTAATCCATGCAGTGTTCCCTTGCTCTAGTCTTAACAACTGCTTCTTGGTTTAGGTATAGATTACATAAAAGTACAATTAAGTGTTCTGGGATTTCCGTTCTTCTCAACGTTAGCCATAAGTTATTATGATCCACCCAGTCAAATGTCTTTGTATAGTAAATGAAACACAAATATATATTCTTTTGGTATTCTCTACTTTCAGCCAGGATCCGTCCCTGATGCTGTGACCCCTTCTAGAACCAGCTTCTGGCAGTTTGCTGTCCTAGCTTTTGGGTGATCTTCAATAATATTTTGCTTGCATGAGATATTGATGTTGTTCAATAGATTATACATTCTGTTGGATCACCTTTCTTGGGAATGTGGACTAATATAGATCTCTTCCAATCAGTTGGTCAGGTAGCTGTGCTCCAAATTTTCTACTGCATCTGTCAGTTGAAATGTCAGTTAATATTCTATTGATCTCTGGGGCCTTATTTTTTGCCCATGCCCTCAGTGCTGCCTGAACTTTATCTTTCTCCACTTTGGCCACTCAAGAAGGCCAGGAGTGGCAGTCCACAGCTCAGGAACTCCTGGTGGAGGTGGGCTAAGGAACAGGGAGGGAAAGCTCCCCTATTACTGCTGACTGAGAATTTATGAGAAACCACCAGATGGTGCTATTTCCACGTAAACAGGCATTTCTTGAAGGGGACCACTTCTTTTGCTGTGAGTTAGCCCTGTGCACCAGACCGAGATTGGATTTCAGCACCACTTATGAGTCCTAAAGGGAAGCCTGGTGCCTTAATGATGAAGAGTTATGCTGCCAAACCAAGGCACACATTTCCAATACATCAGCTGAACCACTGAAGGAAGATGGGAAAACTCCTTCTGTGCAATTTACTAAATTTGTGTCTAAAAACCCACTAGAGGGTCAGTTATGGGTTGGTTCTGATTTGATCGTACACAACAACCACCACCACCAGATGTCGAAGTACTCTAAAGATAAAGTACATTACATGTTGTTCTTCTGAAAGATCAATAATTTGAATCCACCTTCCTCTTCTCGGGAGAAAAATGGGCACTTATCTGCAAAAATGTAGCCAGCAGTGGTATTTTTTTTTTGTTTATTTTTATTTTGTTGTTTAGTTGAAGTTAGATGGAAGGTCTTTGGGAATATATCGAAGCTGATGCATGCAGTCCATGTTGGGGTGATTCATTCACAGAGAACTCACTGAGCCCTTATACCCAGCACTGTGCTGGACTCTGAGGCTACTTGATGGATATTATCTGGTTCTCAGGGAGTCCAGAGTGATGGAAGTGATTGAAGTGCCAACAAATATTGTCAACTTGTGTGACAAACAAACTATAAATATAGAAACAAAGGAGCAAGTGTCTTTCTCTGCTTGAGAGAAAAAGTACTGGCAAACTTCCCACAGTAGGTGATGTCTAAGCACAATTTCAGAGGCATCACCAGGTCCTAGCAACAAGGGATAGAA